AGGACGTGGGCGGCGGGACCGCGGATCATCTGGGCGTTCCACCGCTCCCGTCCTCCGGGGCGAGAAAAGCCCCGTTCGTAACTGCGGATCCGACATAAGTCGGATCCGCGTAACTTGGAGACTGCCTGTATTTGCATTTCATGGATAGCAACTTTTGAGTTTTCTCTGAGGTAGTATGCCAGTGTATGTTAGAAGTGAGCAGTATTATGTTTTGTGGTGTCTTGTGGAGTTAGTAATTTCCTCAGTGGTTTTTATCACAATAGGTATTCATTAATGGCCACAAAGTAGGCCCTTGAGTATCTTAACATTATCATAATGTCTCCTTAAGTTATTTTTAAAATTTATATGTAAAATCTAAATGTTTGTTTCATCTACTTTATTGAATTTTTCATCCTACTAGAAAGTAGAAAGACGGGAAAGAATAGTATAAAACAGTAGTCAATATTACTTTGCAATTTCACATTCTGTTTTTCATTTTTTCCCTTCTTGCTATATTTTTTCTGTACCACTTCTTTGCATAGCCCCCATGCACTTAGATGTCACAATGAAAAGAACTACTTCCAAATTATTCAAGTAAAAGTATTAGCATTTCTGAAATAAAATCTCTGTATTCACTTTTCCCACCTCTAATAATCACATTGAGATTTCTGTATCTGGAGACTCCCCTAACATTTTAGAAGGTGGGATCAGCTTGATCCAATGGATCCAATATTAGAATGGGCGAGACAAGACAAGGTTATGCTGCTGATGTGCAGTGTGATCTTGGACAAGGCAGTTCTACTCTGTGTTCCTGTTTCCCTTCCCACTTTTGTTGGTCTTAACCACTTAGTCTGTAAGGGCCAGATTTTTAAAGGTATCTAAAGACAGACAACTAATGGGGCTTTCGAAAATGACAATCTGCATCTTTAACTGCCTAAAGACCTTTAAAAATCTGCCTGTAAGTACTTTGAGGATACACTATATTTTTGTATAGTGTACTGGCCTCAGTTTGAATCCTCTATGTGATACTGTACTAAAATAATAACGAAAGATAAAATTAATACTAAAATGAGTCCTGCATAACAACCTAGCTGGATGCAAGAGTGCAGAGGATTATATCCAGTGTTACCAAGTGAAAAGGCAAGGAGCTTATGAGTTGTGTCCTGCAAAACTCACTGCTGAGACTAAATTTATTTAATATTGCATGAAAGATCTAAAAGATTATTAAAGTTTTTGAGTGATTAAAAATTCCTTGATAACCTTAAGATAAGAAGCAAGTTAATACTTTTTGAGGAAATTGCAAATTATAATAAACACTAGATTACGGAAGTGGGTCAGTGTTTCAAGCATGCATATAGACCTAATGAAAGAGAATATATGTGCAAGGACTACAACTGTAGGAAAAAAATTAAGAAAGGGGACTAGAGGAAAAGGTCAGTGACAGTGTATTCATTATGTAAAGAAGCAAATGGTATTCTAAGATATATAAGTAAGGCAAATGCATTTAACTCAAAGAGAATGACTAAATTATAAAAGACACTTGGAAATGTTGTGGAAACTTTAAGATTGTCTCATAATGGAAATTAAAATAATAGAAATCTGTTTTGGGGGTGACTTGCAGAAAAGACATAAGCTGAATATACACCAATATATTTATGTGGCAACCACTCAGTTATCTGTCAATGAAAGTTGTTTAAATTTATGAGCAAGGGCTAAATCAAAGGAGACTTAGGGTGTGACTCCACAAAGATGTTTGATGCCTATCTACCATTTTGAGGGCGCACAAGTCTTATGTTAGGTATCGCTGTGATGCATACAACTCTCATTCAACAGTGTCCTAAACCTGTTGGAGCATAAATTCCCTCAGCTTCTGTGCATGCACACTGCAGCCTCACTGTGAGTGCCTAGGCATGTGTATCCTGAACATTCAGACCTTTGTTATGTGATAGATGCCTAAACTCTAGAGCAATTCATGTTTGGCAGTTGAAGTTCTGTGTATGTGAGTCTGGTTCAAGCAGATGGGTCCTGAACATGTCTACTGAATTGACTCACTCAGGCAAGTTCAGATGAATACATCAGAGGGAGAGAAACGTCTCTTATACCCTTTACCCTCAGCCAAGATGTGGCAGACCTCTATTTAATTCTCCCTTTATCCTGGGGAGAAGGCCTCTGAACTGGGATCTGCCACCTCTCGGTGGGTGTCATGATCACTAGGTTATGGAATATTCCAACGGGGCTCCCTCCATCTCTTCTCTTGAAGTTTTTCCACTTTAATTCAACAATGGGATATTTAAATATTAATTGGACCAGTGAAAGAATTAGACTGACTCTATTTAGGGATCAGGGTACTCACCTGAGAGGAAACATCCCTCTTCAAATTCCTCCCTCTCTTCTTTAGAAGGGGCAGGGGTTTGAATCAGCATCTCCTATGTTCTGAGTGAATACCTTATCTCCTAGGCTAAAGGCTTAAGGAAGATCTCTCCATTGATTTGTTTCAAGTCTTACATGCAATTGAGGCAGCTGAGCACTGATTTTCCCCCATTTTGTGGATCACAAGCAGAGCAAGGTGCATTCAGATAGCCCAGACTTAGACATCTGTATCTGAGAGAAGAGTGAAATCTACCACGTGCCATTCTGGTCAGCAGCTTTTATTGGCTAAATTATGCTACTCCAGCTTGTGTGTTGGGTTTGTGCACTGCATTCTTATGTTCCTGTCTCTCCTTTTTCAGTGTATTAGGAGCCTAGGAACCTAACTCAGGCTTTATGGGTCACCATGTTAGTTTTATGCCCAGTGTTGAGTTGATTATTAAGCATGGTTTTTTATTTACTCAGACACAAACCTCCTTGAATTTTGCTATGGGAAGGACTTAAGGATTTGGCTTGATATAAGGTATGACCAAATGTACCCAAAATAAAAATAGTAAAAATAGTAAAAATCCAACTAACTGGAGCGTTGGATCGATGTAACATTGACTCCAGGCTCTTTGACCCTCTGCAGATAGCATATATCAGGAGGATTATGGGCATATGGTTATAGGCAAAGGTAACATCACAAACTATTTGAACTTAATAACTTTATTGGATACCCAGAGATTAAGAGCCTTTGCTTTCCAATCTTTTTCATAATGTTTATATACATTTATTATCAATGTGGGATGTCACTAGGGAACCCGTAGAGGTCTGAGGATCCGGACAAATCAGCTTGTGTTTTATAATCTCCCAGTGGGTGCTCCCCCTCCAGTTCTGCCCAGGCCCCTCCCCTTTTCCCTCTTCCCCACCCTGCCTCTGTCTCACCTCCTCCCATCTTGCATCTTCTCTCCCAATTCTGCCCTCTTTCCCGAGTGCCCTGCTCCCTCAGTCCTCCCCTCTTCCACCAGTGCCTCCTAAGGCTGTGAAAAAGCTGATCTGCAGCTAGTAGTAGGTACTAGGAAGGTAGGGGAGGTTCTGATCCATAGGGCCCACTGGTGGGAGAAGGCACTGGGGGAGGGAGAAGTGTTGATAGATGACTGCTTGGTGGGTGCTAAGCATCCACTACTTTTTCCATGGATGTTCCAGGTCTGGAGCAACCATGGAGTTGGGGGCCTATGGCTGCTGTTTCTGGATACTAAGCCTGAGCGCCACGTGACACACTGAAGGGAGAGGCCTGGATCACTCACCTCGATTCGCCAAACAAAAGAGACAGCTCTGTATGAAATAACGTTCTTGCTGCATAGTCACCAGACACTTTGCAAAGACATAAGTTGCAACTAAATGCTAGGGTGGCTTCATGTTGCATGAAAGAACCCAGCTCTGTAGTGTGGGATTTTGTGTATACAATGGTTTATCGATGATAAGAACATAAGAATGGCCAAAGGTCCATCTAGCCCAGTATCCTGTCTGCCAACAGTGGCCAATACCAGATGCCCCAGATGATTAAAAAGATATTAAAAATGGTTCAATTTATGCTAAGCAAAGGATCAGAGAGCAGCAGTGATCAACTTAAATTTAAGCTCCTTCTTTGTTACTTTGACCCCGAGTCTTCCAAATTATCTCAAGGAAGCAAGATCCAGTTTGGTGGTTCTCCAGCCCACACAAAAATATGGGTTGAAACAAGGGCTCTGTTCAATATTGAAAGTGTCATTTTCCAGCCATCATCAGATGGGGGAATAAGTGGTTGCTGCATTTTTTAAAATAATGTGTTTAGATGTAAAGTGAATAGAAGAATTGTCACATGCCAGAGTGTCTCATTAGCTTGCTAAGGGTTCCCTGCTGCCCTCAGAGTCTTTTTCTTAAGATAACTTTATTGTCTAAACGTAAGCAATTCCTTAGTTCCCTTTTATACCCCAGACTTTTGCAGCCTCCCCTTTCAGGGGGCTCTGAGTCATTTGTGTGTTTTCTGCAGCTTTCTCTCTCCCTGGGGCTCTCTTTGAGCCTTTATAGCTCCAGGTGCAGCCCCATCCATTAAATAAGCCCAACTGAGAGCACCTGTTATGGCATAGGGACGCTGCAGCTCCTTCAGTTATGGAGCAGGCCAGCCACCCAATGACAGGGCCTTGCTCATTTCAGTTGACTTTCAGGCTGTCAGCAACTTCCTTCTCGTTTTCTCACTCATTCTTGTGCTTTTCACTTTACTTGTCTGCCCACAGTTTGAAAGAACAGAGACTAGAAGCAGGAGCATCAACTATTCTAAAACTCCCTTTTTCTTCCTGTTCCTCTTCCTTTCACTCAGTTTACTTTCTGCTTTCATCTAAGTTATTCTAAAAACAAGCAATAAAGTGCTGCAAAAGAAAAAAGTTATAGTAAATCAATCTTTGTTGAAATTTTAAGTACACGTATCCTTTAGCAAATATCATACAGAATGGAATAATTTGTTTTTACATTACTTGTCAATTTTAGTGTGCTTTAAACTGTTCTTTTGCTGACAGGATTTGAAATCTAGCAATCAACGAGATGAAATTGCAGCAGCACGTGCTTCTCTAAAGGAAAATTCATCTCTCCTACATTCAATTTGTTCAGCTTGTTTGGAACATTCAGATGTTGGATCCCTTACAGCCAACAAGGACTCAATTTTCAATGAAATACAGAGCGCTGTCAGTGTCATTTCTAATGCTTCTCAAGGAATTAGAAATCAAAAGGTTCATCCTACGTCTCCTTCAGCTATGCTAGGAAGTGCACTTGATGAGCTTGAGGTAGGTAAATATGTAAACATGTACCATTGCACCATGCTCTGGAAAATGATTTAATTTATTTTAAATTAATATAGTACTTGCTAAAAGTGACACTGAAAGCATTAGAAAGTGAGATTCTGTTTTTTCAGAGTGGGCAATATTAGCATAGGCTTTCCTATAAAGTGCACTGACCCAGAGCTTGGTGGGACCACTTCCAGCAAAATGAGGAACCCCCGCACTAGCTGCTTCCCCCCAGCAGACCAGGGAGACGCGAAGCCAGCGCCCCCCCCCCCCCCCCCCGTCAGCAGACACCTCAGCTTGAGAATTAAGGACTGAGGGAAGTGAGGTGTGGGAGAATAAAACTGAGCTCTGGAGAAATGTTTGGCTAGAGTTTCCCCTACAATATGTACCAGTTCCGACTTACATACAAATTCAACTTAAGAACAAATTTACAGTCCCTATCTTGTACGTAATCCGGGGACTGCCTGTATTGGAATAAATGTCTCTGTCCTGATGCCTGTCACATGTAACATAATTGAAGAGTTCAGGATTGGAATTATGCTCTTTTTCTGTCATGGCTACAGAGTTCTTATTCAGGTTATCCTGGGAACAGTACAGCTACAACAAAACAACAACAGCACTACAAACTATCATTAAATCAACAGGCATGATATGACTCATATGCTTAGACAAAAATTATTTTTGTTTTCAGCAGTTAAAAATAATTTTGAGGAATGTCGTCTCCCAAACAACTCTGAATGATCTGAAACAGGTTTTCTCTCTCCATGTCTGGTTCTCACCTGATCTATTTGATGTTAATAGACCAGAGTTCTAGCCCCAGCTCTGCCACTGGTCTGCTGATTGACTATGGTCAAATCAAAGCTTAAATATACCCAAATTGGGCATGCTGATGCTGACCTCTTTTGTAAAGTGCTTTGAGATCTACTGATGAATATGCGATATAAAAACTAGATATATAATGATAATGCTGTTGTTGTTCTTGTTGTTACCATTTCTTCTAGTACTTGAATTTATTCTCTGCACATACGTTCCCTCTAGTAAGGAATCACTAATTCTGCTTTATGGGCCTGATCTAGTAAGTTTTGCTCAGTTCCTATAATGTTAATAGGAATACTCTACCTTGCACAGTTTGGCTCAAAATCTGCTGCCAGTGTTCTCATAGAATGAAAAGAACACTGTTCAGTGTAATTTGGTTATTAGGAGATAGGGATAACTTCTGAATGGGTGACAAACCTTTCTTGCCTAAACTAGAAATATCTCAGCACACTGTACATCTGAGTTCTGCTGGTTTGGTGAGTACACATTACAGAATATATAAAATAAGAGAATGGCTTTAACAGTAGAAATCACACTGAATCATGCAGTTTATTTTGGGCGTTTGTCTTTGCTGCTCTCTCTTTAGCTTTTTCTGCACATGGAAAATTTTTAAAAAATCCACCTGTGTTACTTTTTAGCTACATATAGACTATAAGCTAATGATGTGATTCCCCTGCTTGTATACACATATTTGGGAGAGCTCTGTTTGGGTATGTCTAGTCTGCATCCCTCTGTCAATATCCATACCTGCCTTCCTTCTGAGAGAATACCTCAGTTGTTATTAAATGCCTCCTTGAAGGGCAGGAGTGTAGTGAAAAATTTTAAAGAATGGCAAGTATACCTCGTTCCCTTCCTAAACTCGCTGTTCGTAAGCTCTCTGGTCACTGAGTCACTCCTTTATAAAGCCCTGGACTGCTTGATAGCCCCTCCCCCTGATTAAGGTTCAACCAATGAGCAGAGGCTTCTAGATTTCAAACCGTGATTAGAAGCTCACAACTTCCATCTGCCATCCATAGCACACGCTCTGTGGGGAAGAGGGGCATCAACCCCCCCCCCCCACGAAACACCACACAATAAACACAAGCTCAGCACACAGCAAGAAACCCCCAAACAAAACCACAAACACATGATACAGACAACCACTTCCCTCAAGGGTCCTGTATTAGCTGCTTCTCCACCTGGAGAACTCCCTCTCCAAACTCCCTGTTAGCAGTCCCTGTTCCGAATGAATTTAATAAATTTAAAGGTTGTGCTTTATTTACAGGAAGTTGTATATGGTAAAGAACCACAGTAATCTTCACTCTTGTTCTTGCATATGCAGTGTTGTGCCATGAATTGCTGTAATAAATAGTCTGTTGGAAGAATATCTCATTAAATCTTCATTGTGTGGAAATGTATCAAGGCATTTACTCAACAAATACTGTCCAGGAGCTTTGTAATATCTTTCATCCAAACACAACCGGCAGTGTAGAAGTAAATAGAGATTTATAGTAGACCAAAACAGGTAGAATTAGAATATTTTCCCTCCTAAATTTTTGTGTACTAAGAATTCCACAATAAACTCCATAGAACTCCTATGGCATTCATAATTAAACATAGAGTAAAGAAGTGTTTGGTTCTTAATAATTACATGTTAAAAACTGTTTTAAAAGAACATGCAGGGTCAGATTCTCTGATGCCTCCTCAGGACCTTTGCATCACCAGAGTGTAGGGGAGCTCACAGCTGTTTCAGTGCCATTAAGGCTACGTCTACACTGCAGAGTGTTTGTCCCAAAATGGTCATTTTTGCAGGAAAAACTCTCAAGAACTACAAGTGCGTTCTTGCACAAGAAAAAGTACAGTACGTTGTCAGAAGACAGAGCTTTTTGTGCAAGAGTTATTCCTCTTTCTATGAGGAATAAGCCTTTTTGCTCAAGAGCTCTTGCTCAAAAAGGTGTGTGTGGATGGGCAGCAGGGGGTTTTTGTGCTTTTTCTGGCCTCCCAGAAAAAGCACATGTGCTCTGGTGGACACTCCATGCAAGTCATCACAGCTCTATAGTTCCTGTCTGCTGGCCCCTCCTTAAAGGTGCAAGCCCCCTGGAGAAGCCTCATGGCAGAAGCTAATCCCAGACAGCAACACCACACCACGAGTCTCTCCCTGCCACAGGCTTCAGGAGTTCTCTGTCTGACCCTGAAGCCCCCCGACACCTCCCTGGTCCTCATGGGGAGCTGTCCCAGGTGCACAAAAAGGCACTCACCCTCCTGGTCTGGCCTGGAGGTCGAGGCCCTCCTGGAGCTGTGGGGACAGGAGGAGGCCCAGCAAGATCCCAGGGCCAGGAGGAGGAATGCAGACATTTATAACTGGATGGAGCAGATCTTGGACAACAGCAAGCACCCACTCTGGACCTTTGAACAGATCCAGTGTAAGGTCAAGGAGCTGTGGCTGTCCTATGTCTATGTCAGTGGCCCCTCGGAGGCAGGACCCCACACCTGCGCCTACTACACACAGCTACACTGCATCCTAGGGGATGAGGAAGATGATGCTTCATCCCCCATTGTGGAGACTGGCCTGTGGACCCCTGTTGTCGTCCAGATGGAGCAGGAGCAAGAGGGTGAGGGCCAGCCGGCCAGGCAAGCTGAGGAGGAGACCAGTCCCACTGTGCCCCTGCCCCTGGAGCTGGTGGCTGCCAGTCAGGATGTCTCCCAGGCTGCCTCGGATGCTGGGGACAAATCTTCTGGTGAGTGGTCTCTTTGTCACTCACTCAGAGGGCGGGAGGGTGGGGAGTAAGTGTCGCTCGAGCTGCTCTGGCTGGACGCTGTGCTGGGGTTCATGCACGTGCAACCTCGTGCTGCATTACAGTGCGGCATGTGGATGCAGCAGGCAGCCCCTGAGCATGCCTGGGATCCTGCTGGACATGCACATCCTGCCACTGCAGGATGGGAGTGGGGTGCACTGGCTGGGAGCAGGCTAGCCACAAGGGCACACGCCAGACCCCACACACACCAAGGAGTGCTGCACAGACTATGTGGCCATGCCTGCCCATGCAAGACAGCAGACATGCCCATAGACAGGGCTGTGAGACGCCCCTGTGTGTGCGGCCCCCAGGAAGCTCCAGGCTGCTCCCAGCTCTTCTGCAGCCCCTGAGGGAATCCCCCTGTGGCCACACTGCCTGGGCTGCTTGACCATGGGCTGGCAGGGGGGAAGTGGACAGCGCAGTCCTCTGGGCCATGGAATGTCGGTCGCTGCTCACAGAGGAGGGCACAGCCTGAGGGACAGTGTCTGCAGAGATGACTGACCCCCTCTCCCTCTTGAGTGTTCTTCACAGCCGGACCAGTCTGGAGTGAGGGGCCAGCCAGTCCACCGCTACAAGCTGCCACAGGCCAGGGAACACACAGGTGTGCCAGGATCCAGGCGGCGGCATGTGATGGCCATCAAGTGCATGGAGCAGATTCTGGCAGAGAAGGTTTGCACCAACCATTAATGGCGCCAACATGCCTTGGGCCAGTTCATGGAGTGGTGCGATCACTTTGGTGACCTCATAGCCAGCATGGTGGCCCATATGGCACGTGCTGCTTCCCGTGACTCCCACCCTCCTGTCCTCCTACCATGCCCATGCCCCCTCCTTCTGCCCCCTGCCAACCCTGACCCTGCTTCTGCCCTCCATCCTCACCACCTCCCTATGCTCCCCGCACCCACCCAGCCACAAGGCTGACAAGGCCCCTGAACGTGAGGTGGCACAGGAGCCCCCTCTGGAAACATAAGTCCTCCTTCCAATTTAGAGCCTCCTCCTCCTGCTCACCTTTCGTTCATGTAAAATAAAAAGAATTTATTTTTGGTTGCAAAAGAAAGAGGCTTGTTTGTTGACATCAGGGAAGAGGGAAAGGGAAGGTTTGTGGTGGGGGAAGGGATGTGACCGCAAGGTAGGGGCCCCTTGGTAGGAGGCCCTGGGAACAGTTAGTGGGGTGCTTGTGAGAACCTCTCCCTCAGGGCCTTCCAGATGCACACCCCTGCTTGGTGGGCCTACTGGATGGCAGTTGTCCAGGGCTGCTCAAATGCACTGCCCACTTGGCTGGCATCTGCCCCCCAACCCAGTAGGAAGGCCTCCTCCCTCCTCTCCACAATGTTGTGGAGGACACAACATGCTGCGTATAACTCGGCAATGTTGTGCTCCCCCATGTTGAGGCAAGTCAGCAAGCAACAGAAGTGCGCCTTCAGATGGCCGAAGATGCACTCCACTGGATCCTGGTCCAGTTGAGGTGGGCATTAAATTGTTCCCTGCTGGGGTCCAGACGGCCAGTGTATGGCTTCATGAGCCATGGCATGAGGGGGTAGTCCCCCATGATGCACAGTGGCTTCTGCACATCTCCAACCAACAAATTCCTGGTGGCCTCCTTAGTCTGCAGTACAGGTGGGAGTTTCCAAAGATGTGGGTCGTGTACCCTGCCTGAACACCCCACAAAAATGTCTGTGAACTGTCCACGGTGGTTGACCAGGAAAAGTAGCCCTTTCGATTGATGAAGTGGGCAGCTCGATGTCCAGGTCCCATCTGTGGTGCCCCCGCAGTTGGGGAACCCCATGGCAGCAAATCCGGCCACGGTCGCATCCAGATCTCCCATCCAGATAGATGATCCTCACCACCTGTAGAAGTACACAGAGAAACAGAAAACACACACAGAGAATAAGAAAGAGGGGGAGCATGAGTCCTTGGGAGGTGCCTGCCCCCCTTCCCATCTCTTCTCTTCCCAAACCCCCAAGGAGCCCCACCATGACTCTGCCCCCTCCCAGCAGCAGGGCTGTGCAAGGGTGGGACAGCACAACTCCCTGGAGGATGGGGCTTCCCCTCACCCCCACTCCACCCCCCACAGCCAGGACTCCTTTCCTGCCTCCGTGCAGGGATTGCAGCCCCAGAGGGCCTTGCCTGCATGAGGAGGGCCCCAACGGTGGACTTCCGCATGCCAAACTGGTTGCCCACTGACCGGTAACTGTCTGGGGTGGCAAGCTTCCAGAGGGTCATGGTGACTCACTTTTCCAGGGAGATGGTGGGCCACAGGTGAGTGTGGCATCTCCAGAGGGCAGTGGTGAACCAGGCACACAGCGCCAAGAATGTGTCCTTCCTCATGTGAAAGTTTTGGAGCTACTGCTGGTTGTCCCACCACTTCATGAGCAGCCGGTTCCACCAGTCCAAACTGGTGTCCAGCCTCCAGAACTGCCTCTCCACAATGGACTGTGGGTCCAGCAGTGACGCTTCCGCACTCTGGGAGAGGGACTCCAAAGTGTCGTCACAGTCAAGCTCCTGCAGGAGCAGCATGGCACCGTGTATCAAGTGCAGCACAGAATGCAGCATGGCTGTGTGGGGCCAGGACATGCCCAGGAGCAGTTCCAGCTCCATGGCAGCAATAGAAAGGCTGTGGCATCCCAAGAAGCACAGGGCAACCACAACAGTCACTGCTGAAGCGTTGCTGTCCCTCACAGAGGTAGCAAGCAGGCAGCAGCAGAGAAACAGCTGCCCTTGAAGCACATGTTTCTGCAAGGCTCCGGCACCATCCCTCGGAAGTAACTGGTGACCTTCTGCCATGCCTGGAGTGGTTCCAGGAGGCTTTTCTTGTGCAAGACTGTCCATGCAGTGTGGACGTTCTCTCTTGTGCAAAGGTACATGCAGTGTGGATGCTCCCTTGCGCAATAATTTTTTTGCGCCAAATCTCTTGCAAAAAAATGTGTGCGCAACAAACCTGCAGTGTAGACGTAGTGTAAGTCTGTTTCCTGAGCTGACCTCTTCACTCCTTAACTTGGCCTTAGCATACAGGGCGTAGCCAGAGTGCAATGCAATAGGCATGATGTCCCATGGAAACCATACCAAAGTGGCAAAAATTAGAGAATCCCAAAGGCAGCTTCAATATATATCAGAACTCAGGATGGCACAAATCTGCTCAGAAACTCAGGGTGCTATAAACAGCTTTCACATAGCTCCCATCTCTCTTTTTTTCCATGGAGCAGAAATTCAGTGAAGCTGAGAATTTGGGCCTAACTATGCAATTTAAATACTCATTTTCTTTTCAAGCTTGTTTTGCTTACTGCTCACTGCATTAATTCAGTAGCAGAAAAAGACATTCAGGCAGGACACATTAGCAAATCTAAACTGTAACTGCTCAATCTCTCTGCTTTTGTAGGTTCTGGTTCATTTGTGTTGATTCTTCTACCTGTCACTACCTCAGAACTGAGTAAGGCAAAACCAGCTGATTACATATTCTTTGTCATACATCTGACTGGGAGATATTGCCTGTTCTTTTGAGCCTCTCTACACTGTTGAAGAGAGTATACATATCTAACCAAATTATTGGAAGAATTAAAACCAAAGCCTGAATCCCTTTGTTTGTTATTGCCCAATATTTAATTTCTGGATCTGTATAATCAGATCATTTAGGTATTGTTATATAACCAAAACCCAAGAAGACTTCTGTGAGAAGGAATCCTTTCTGTTTGCTTTGAAGTTGCTTCTTTATGAGCATTTGACTCTATTGATTTACTCTGTCAGCACATTGCTAGGTCATTCTGCAGCTTAGCTTCTGTCAGTGCCCTGGATACAGTAGTAATGCCAGCAGTGGCACTGTTTCTCTATGTAAAGCCATCCCAGGTCTGAAACCATTTAGAAGTCAGGATGTTGTAGGAGGTGAGATATTTCAGTTGTCATGCACACACCTGGAACCAGTATCTGGAAACCACTGGATGGGGTGATTATTTCTCTGGAGGTGTTTATTTTCAATTAGTCATCTCCCAATGTATTTAATTCCTGTGGGAGCTGCATGGAATAGCACAAAATTACACACAAACTATCATAAGTGTAATATAATACGGTCCCTAAATATTGTGTACGATTGTATTATCTGCCACTGTGGATACCCAACTTCCCCCTAAAGATGACACAAAATATGGGTGCTTATTCTGAAAATCAAGTCACTTTTATTTAGGTGCCTTGATTTAGGAACTGAAGTTTGAAAAGTGTTTACAACATGACTTATTATAATTAAGATAAAGGTCAAATAGCATAGAAGCAGTATTGTCAGACATGCCATGTCATAAATTCTTTATGCAAAGACTTCACTAAACCACCCTTGACTATGTCACACTTGGTTTTTCATAAATAAAAATACTTCTCCAGTTTAAACACCTTTGCTTTCTGGAGACCTGTATGGGAATTGTATATTTGCATGCATAGCAATATTTTAAAGTTGACAATGACACTGCTATAAAGAGTACTCTCAATGAGAATAGTTTATATTTTAGTCTTTTTGCCATCTTTTTTCGCTATGGTTGTTCTGCCTGTTGTCTATGCTTAGAAAAGCCATAGAAGATTTCACTTGTTTGAATAGATGCTTTAAATATTTAATAGTGATAGAAATGTAGCCGTGTTAGTCTGGGGTAGTTGAAGCAAAATGCAGGACAATGTAGCACTTTAAAGACTAACAAGATGGTTTATTAGATGATGAGCTTTCGTGGGCCAGACCCTCTTCCTCAGATCAAATAGTGGAAGAAAGTAGTCACAACCATATATACCAAAGGATACAATTAAAAAAAATGAACAAATATGAAAGGGACAAATCACATTGCAGAACAGGAGGGGGATGCGGGGGGGGGAGGGGAGGAAGGAAGGTAAGTGTCTGTGAATTGATGATATTAGAGGTAGGGAGAGTGGGATGTTTGTGAGTTAATGGTATTAGAGGTGATAATTGGGGAAACTATCTTGGTAATGGGTGAGATAGTTCAAATGTTTGTTAAGTCCTTGTTGGAAAGTGTCGAATTTTAACATGAATGACAGTTCAGAGGATTCCCTTTCAAGTGCAGATGTAAAAGGTCTTTGTAGCAGAATGCAGGTGGCTAAGTCATTTAGAGAGTGTCCTTTCTGGTTAAAATGACAAGAAACTGTTTTCTCTTTGTGATCTTGTCTGATATCTGTTTTGTGGGCATTAATCCTTTGGCAAAGTGTCTGAGATGTTTGTCCAATGTACATAGCAGACGGACACTTTCGGCACATGATAGCATAGATTATATTTCTGGAGAAAGTAGAGAAAAATTAAGTAGACAAATAGAATAGCTTTTCACTCTTTAAGTCAGTGGCAAAACTTCCAGAGGAAGTATGGTCTAAGTTGCTACTGCTTGGCATGAATCTAGCAGGTTGGATAGAGTACTCTGCTCTGCTACAGACTTCTGATGTGGCCTTGAGCAAGTCACTTAATTGGTGTCTCTGCTTCCCATTTGCAAAATGTGGATAATAGCACTTCCTTACTTCATAGGCATTTGGATAAATATATTAAGTACCATGTAGTATGCTCAGACACGACAGGGAGGAGGGCCATATGAGTACGTAGAATAGATAAATAGCATTTCACCCAAAGGTTGAAGGACTAGGAGGGAAGAAACAATAGCTAGAATGGGAATTATAAAGGGGAAGCTGAATATTTTGAATGTTCATGTCTGAAAATATTCAGGGAGAAGATGAGTATAGTCAGAATGGTGGAAAGGGAAGATGCATTGAGCATGATTATTTTGGATATACTTGAATGGGAACATAGTGGCAAGTGAGAGGACAGGAAAATAGAATGTTACAGTTAACTAGGCAAGAGATGATCAAAACATGGACAGTATTTGTATTTTGTCTATTTTTTCCTAGAGTTTAATCGTATTGGATCCACTTACAATGAATGAAGAAAAAATAAGGCCATCACTAGAGAAACATTTGGAAGGGATTATCAGTGGAGCAGCACTGTTAGCTGACTCTTCCTGCACTCGTGACATTCATAGAGAACAAATAATCACAGAATGCAACGCCATCCGCCAAGCTCTCCAAGATCTTCTGTCTGAATACATGAATAATGTAAGTGACCAGTTCTTTCCTATTGTTTTTTGTGTGTGCTTCAAAGCACATTTTCTACATTTCCATGCATTATTTATAATCAGTCTGGTAATCACGAATGCCCTTTGACCTTTTACTCTAGTTTCAATAATGCAGCCTACTTACGTATTTATTAGAGAGCCAAAAGTTGTACTCAGACATGTATATGGTATATAAGGCTGGTTAAATTTTTTGGATGAATTGTTTATTCATCAAAAAGTATTGTTTCAGGTACACCAAAACTACTTGTGAAACTGGGTTAATTCAGAGAATAAATAGTTAGCCTGTTCTTCTTCCCACTTCTCAAATTAAGTTTTCTAAATGAAGTGTTTTGACTTTTAAAATTTTGAAATGGAATTTTGTTTGGAGCTTTATCCTGATGCATTTAAAACAAAGATAAAAATGCTGTTAACAATGAAATAAAATGAATAAAACAAACAGAAAAATCCTGTTTCTGGTTGACCTGAAATTATTTCCCCCCCTGAGATTTTTTGGTTAGACACTGAAATGAAAAATCAGCATTGCTCAGCTTCATTCGCATGTTAAGAAAAACCCAACTATTTGTCTTCAAAATTAGCCTGTCTCAGGAAACTGTGAAATATCCTGTATCACAAACTTTTTGTTCTGTGAAGTGACGGAGATAGCATGTTCCTTTGAATGTTGGGGACTTCCTTTATAATTTTCTTCCTGTCTGTCTCTTAGAATTTGAAGAGTGGGAATGCTAGGATTTTACACTTGTTTCTACAATGTGCAGCAAATTTTATGATGTTTTGTTTTATTGTTTTATTTAAAATCTGAGTAGTTCATTTCTATGTACTCTTAACATAAATACTCAGGGATCATAGAATCCTAGAATCCTAGGACTCTAGAACTGGAAGGAACCTCGAGAGGTCATCGAGTCTAGTCCCCTCATGGCAGGACCCAGTACCATATTCTAGACTATCCCTGATAAATGTCTATCTTAGCTGCTCTTAAATATCTCCAGAGATGGAGATTTCACAACCTCCCTATGCAACTTATTCCAGTGTTTATCCACCCTGACAGTTAGGAAGTTTTTCCTAATGTCCAACCTAAACCTCCCTTGCTGCTACTTAAGCCCATTGCTTCTTGTCCTATCCTCAGAGGCCAAGGAAAACAATTGTTCTCCCTCCTCCTTGTGATACTCTTTTAGGTTCCTGAAAATGGCTATTATGTCCCCTCTCGACTGATCAATATAAGAACAACAAGCAGTACATACTGAGAGCCTCTAAATGCAAAATTGTAGTGCAAGAAATGTTGAGTAAATCTAGAAATCTGATTTCCTGGCATGCTTTATAATGTGTCTGTGGTAAATCTTTCAAAAAGTAATACAGTTTTTATCTTTTTTTTTGGATAGATTTTTAGATTTGAGCAATTAGTTAGATACATGGCTAAGTGCACTGCCAGTCACAAAAACTAAAGGTGGTAAGACAGATATCATCATTAATATGGGGACTGTGTGTTAATATCATGTGTTTTGTCTGGAAACTTCACCATCATTTTCTGCAGACATGCTGATCTTATCTAAAGCTGCCCTAAGATAATGAACACAACCTTTGAGGGGATAATTGTGTAATATAGCTATTTGTTTCTCCTTATGGGAGCTGAAATTGTTTTCTGTTTTGTAGGTACTGCTAGTCAATCTTATCCAAGGCGGTGTGTGTGTGTGTGTGTGTGTGTGTGTGTGTGTGTGTGTGTGTGTGTGTGTGTGTGTGTGTGTGTGTGTGTGTGTGTGTGTGAGTAACCTCAGGATAATAGAGAACTTTAAGAAATCTATGTATTCCCAGGTGTGCATTAGTCTCTCTGAAATTATACCTGATGTAGTCTTCCCCTACTCATTCATTATATTTACAGAAAATCTACAGCAATCTTAAATTAATGTCTGTGAACAGAACTTGATATTGCAGGCTTGAATATATATAAAGATGCTTTTAGTTCTGATTCCTTTCACCATCAGCATTAATTTGCCTGAATCTACAATGAATCGTGGGCCTCTCTGGCAGTACTTTCTGAATGTGAATAAGAAATACAATATTTCTTTCTTCAGCTCAATTTTAGTTATTATCATTGCAAAAAGCACAAGAGATTTAAAATAATCTTAAAATATTTGTGACCCCCTCTAAAAATAGCTAAGTATTCATTTGAGATTTATTGTCACTAATTCTAACAGTGAATTATTTAAATATATAAAAATAATTGCCCTGTTTTATTATTTTCAATATTATAGCAGAAATTATGTTGGAGCCTGTTACCACAGGATATGATGATAGAAACAGCCTCTTATTCAAATTATTACGGTCCTGTTAGTCTGTTCTCTTAGGCTATGTCTAGACTACAAGCCTCTTTCAAAAGAGGCTTTTTTGAAAGAATCTTTCAAAAAAGCCTCTTTCGAAAGAGAGCGTCTAGACTATAAACAGATTTTTCAAAAAAGCGAGCTGCTTTTTCAAAAGAGAGTCTAAACTCTCTCTTTTGAAAAAGCAGCTCGCTTTTTTGAAAAGAGAATCTAAACTCTCTCTTTCGAAAAAGTACAGTTTACATTCAATACTGCCTTTTTTTGAAAGAGTACTTTTGAAAAAAGGTCTTATTCCTCGTAAAATGAAGTTTACCGTGATCGAAAAAACTGCTGCATTCTTTCGATTTACTTTCGAAAGAACATGGCTGCAGTTTAGATGCAGGTAAAGTTTTTTCAAAAAAAGGCTACTTTTTTTAAAAAAAACCTATAGTCTAGACACACCCATATAGTCAAATGCAAAGTAAGGGCTTCAGGCTGTATGGAGTTCTGGGTGAACAAACTTGTGTGCTGGTACAAAGCCTCAAAAGACATTTGTAGAGAAGCTACATGGTCCTCCCATTACACTTTTGCACAACATTATGCCTTACAGAAAGGGCCAATACCCTCCACATCTCTGGCAGATGTGGTCCTTCCTTCCTCTACATAAATTACTCCAATGCCCATCACCAACTGGCGGGTACTGCTACTGAGTCACTTGAGTGGAGCACACACAGGGACCCCACTTGATGAAGAAGAAGTGACTCGTCCTGGGCAGTACTGATGGTTCTTCGAGATGTGTGTCCCTGTGGGTGCTCCACTACCCTCCTTCCTCATCCTTCCCTCTGCTTGGAGTCTTTAAGGGACTTCAGGTAGAAAAGGAACAGATGGGGCTCGCGCCGCACGCACACTCAGCAAACAGCATGGATGCGAGACGCTGGGTGCATAGGCGCGGTGCAAGGGGCACTGCACACCAAAAACCTCCAATCAGTGGCAAGAGGACACACCAAGACCTGAGTGGAGCACCCACAGGATACGTCTAGACTACAGGGTTTTGTCGACAGAGGCTTTGTCGACAGATACTGTCGACAGAGCATCTAGACTACATCCAGTTCTGTCGACAAAGCAAGCCGCTTTGTTGACATGAGAGTGTAGACGCAAAGGACAGAGTAGATGCAATAATGCTTTCTGTTGACAGAACTCTGTCAAAAAAAAAAAAGCATTATTTCTTATAGAATGAGGTTTACCAGAGTCAACAAAACTGCCGAGTTCTGTCGACGTTATGTCGACAGAACTCGGTGGTAGTGTAGACATAGGTATAGTTTTGTTGACAAAAGTCCACTTTTGTCGACAAAACCCTGTAGTCTAGACACATCCACAGGGACACACATCTCGAAGAACCATCGTTACTGCACAGGGTGAGTAACTTCTTCTTTGAACTACTTATTTAGTGAGGTGGTTGATCCTTCATCACTTGAAATCTTTAAATCATGGTGCTTTGAAATGATTTGCTTTAGATCATCCAGAAATTATGAATCTGCTGCAGTAGCCATGTGGTAAAGTTCAGTGGCCTCTATTAGGCAGATCAGACCAGATGATCATAATGTCCTTTTTAGTCTATTAACAAAATGAGGGTTATTTTTTCTAGAATAGAAAAGATGACAATTCATAGGTGAAACAATGTGATTTTTTTAAACAAAGTGTATGAGCCTGAGACAGGAATTGAAGAGCACCTTATCCAATTACAAATGCAAAGGGAATTGTAGGGAGTAAATAAGTGACTGCTCACATTTCAAAGTTGCTAGGATAGAAAGTAACATCCCTGCTTTTCTGAAAAAGGTCATCAGATCTTTCATTACCATAAGTGGTTATTTCTTGATTTTACATCTCATCTGAAAGGCAGCAGCCCAAGAAAAGAAAGTAGGGGGAAATAGGTTTGAAAGACTTAGGTGTTCATTATCACTTTTTTGTCTAATTGAAAGGAGTTCATATAAAAGGGTTTTTTTAATAGCCTCTTAAATTGTTCTTGCTTTGTGCATGGTTGTAATATTATGTTCTTTTTGTGTGTAGGCTATAATATTGATTTTTTGGGGGGAGCACTATTCAAGGACAATTTATGGCCCTTAGTGAGTTATGGATTAACACATTTTTCAGTTATCAAGTAGCTCATTTCACAAATCCACCTCATTGAAGAATATAAAATCTAGAGGAAAGTGATAATTTTTCACAAGCCTCTAGATTTCCTTGTTGTTAATCTCTAGGGCTAAGTCTATACTGCACACTTTTGCCGGCAGACAGTATGCTAATTAAGCACTCATTAGCATTTGTCATGCTGTCATTTGCATATTCTCTGACAATGCTTTTTGAGCAAGAGGTTTTTGCACAAAAACAAGCAGTGTAGATGGGTCCGTTTTGTGCAAATAACCTCTTTTGCGCAAGATCGTTATGCCTCAAAAAGGAGGTACAAGGATCTTGAGCAAAAGGGAGTTTTTGTGCAAAACAAACCCACCTACACTGCTTTTTTTTGCACAAAAAGGTCTTGAGCAAAAAGCATTTTCAGAGAATATGCAAATGACAGTACAACAAATGCTACTGAGCGCTTCATTAGCATGCTCTCTGCAGGCAAAAGCCTCCAGTATAGACATAGCCAGAGAGACATGACTGTGAATTGAATGTAACAATTCGGTAGATCTTT